TGTCCCTGTCATTCGGAGGGTATGCTTCTCGGTCTTCGACTGGGACGTGGAGGAGCCATTCCCATGCTGTGTGGATGTCCGCTGTCAGTATGTTATTGATGACGCCGTAGGCGAAGTGGTTGTCGTTGTTGGCGGGGTACTTAGAAGAACATGCGCCATCCAGTTCATTCCACGGGTGGTCCTTATGTCTTTTGAGCCAGATGAGCGTAACGTAGGCGACGCTGGCGAGCTCCACGTAGAGGGCTCGCGCCAAGGTAACCAGCTGCAAATTTGCTGTTGGCCTGGATTCGCCCGACGAGAGCAACAGTGCAACAGTATTGTCGCAATAGATGTAGTAGTACGAGTTCGATTGGATGTTGCCTGTCTCGTCTTCTTGGAGTGCCGTGGCGAGGGCCACCCACAAGTTCGGCCGTAGTGCTTGAAGCAATCGGGTAGTCATCCCCAATGGATTGGCGGAGTTTGGCCTCCACATGGCCACAGAAGTGGTACTCGTCTCCGGGTTCATTGCCCGAGAAGTTGGCCTGGATATAGACGAGCCCCCATGCAGAGTCCTTTGGCCTCTGCTCGTAGTAGCTGCCGTCTGGATACAGATGATGCTGGGATGAGTGTGCTATGTACTTTGATTAGTAACGTGCTCCTGGGTGACTTCCTTGATGTCGAGATAGTCGGCACTGGTGTCAAAACATATACGTGTTGCTTCAGCGGCCAACGTGTCCAAGGATGTTTTGAGTTGCATCGGGCAGTTCGATGGCACAGGTTCATAACCGTGCTGTTGCTGCGGTAAGTCAGTGGGTGGGGAAGGTGGAGATGGCGTCGGTGCGACACCTCGGTATTGATAGCGACGTTCTCCCTGCATGCTGATAGTTCCGTTGTGGAACCAGTAAATGAATTCGGTGTAACAATAGGTGAGCTACATGTGGACATTGTCCTGCGCCTGCGTCGCCGTCCAGCGTGGCGGCGTAGGCCTCTATGGGTACGCCGACGTGTCGTAGCCTCCAGTGGTCGAGTAGCGCATGTCTCACTCGAACAACGGTGGGTACTGGACGTCCGTGCGTAACTACTGCTCCTTGCTGGCGGAGTAGCCCCGATACGTGCCGCCGAGTAGGAGTCGTGGAATTTAGTTAGTGTCGCGGGTGGACCCGAGGTGGATGCAATGTGGTCGTAATGTTCGGCTTCGTTGTAGCCTGCCCATCTGCGGGGGTCGCGACGCCCACCGCGGACTCCCCTGGGCTTGGCCCGTGGCGTAGAGTTAGGGCCAAAACGATCGTGTGCTGGATTGGTCCTGGCCAACTTGGCTCTGCGAAGTTGCCTGTCCCGTCTGCAGTGGATCCGGCCTAGACATGTCGTCCCCTCTTGCTATAGTGGATAGTGGTGACCTTTTGGCCGAACGGCGCCATTGCCCTTCTGACCTTGATCGGCGGTCCCTGCTGTACCGGAGATGAGGTAGATGATAAGGCATCTCGTAAGCCAGCTGCGATGTCCGCGGTCTGCTTGTATTTCTTCTTTGTGATTATGTCCACCAGCGCCTGCTTGTCCTGTGCCAGTAGTTTGCTCGTGATCTCTCCAGCGACGTCTGGGTGGGTATTCTTGGCCATGTCGTACAGGAATTATGCGAGCATTGGTTTCTGGTTCGGGGTTGACAAAGCGGCCAGCTTGGCAGCGAGTTCGTGGTGTGCCTTATATTTGTCCTGTTTCTGTTGGAGCACGTTGTAGTAGGAGGCGGATGTTGGTTCCTGAGTTGGGGGTAGTGATGTCGGCCGACGATAACCTGGACTGTATTCTGGGTCGGCACCGTGCTCCGAGCCGCTCATGCCCGCTACCCAGGGGAACCCGCATCCTTCCGTCTGGTGGCTATCGTCGGCCGAGGAGGTGGCAAGCGGAGTTGGCATCGCCGCCTCTGTCACCTGCCTGACGTATGCTTCCTCCGCGTCGACTTTGGGCTGCTTAGGGCCGTCCTCGAGGTCCAGTGCCAGGGAAGTCGGTGTCGGTGCATGGACGAGTTGGTGCGGTAACATCTCCTCCTTTTGTGCCTGGTGCTGTCGTTTCCGCTCTTCCACATGCGAAGGTGAGTTGAGCATCGCTGCCTGACGAAGGATCTGGACTGATGTCGGTGTTGTTTGCATGGGCCTCTCTGTGTGCTCTAGTGGTGATAGTCTGCCCGTCGTAGCCGTTGGTGGACGGGGGGGAGTACTGAAGCCTCCGGGTGAAACACTTGGGGTAGGCGTTCGCGGGGTAATTTCTTCCACAGCAGCCGTAAGAGGGTCATCCTGGGGCATATGTTCTGTGTCTTTGGGCGGGGTGCTGACTGCCCTGGTGCGTCTCGGTGGCGTATTGATTGCGAACTGCAACGGCACGGTGGGCGTTATATGCTCCTGCGCCAGGCTAGTCTGTGCTGGTTGGGGGGGTTGCTGTGGGGGCCTGGCGTGGTCCTTCTTGTCGTTGTAGTAGATATCCCACAGGCTGAGAGTATCTGCTGAGGTGGTAGCGTCGGCTGGGCGTGGTTCGAAAGGATCACCTGGGGTGAAGGCGTACTGTCTGACACGTCCTCCATCCTGCTAGTGAGCAGTTTATCCGAAGGCTCCGCGTTCGACGTAAAGGGGACCCTGGTGTTGTTACGTAAGCTAGTTGTGGATATCTGGGCGCTTCTTTGGAGTCCTCGTAGGTGGTGGAGCTGTTGAATCAGGTCCTGTTGTGCAAGCAAGCTGTCCTGGCGTTCGTGCCAGTACTTCTTGATGGTCTCGCTGTCCTGGTGCTGCCTGTTCTTGAACTGCCTGTGGCGCTCGCTCATCTCGAGTGCGTGCAGTTGCTCGGCCTTCTGGCATACTTCTTGCAGCCTGTGGATGACAGATTCTTGTTCGCTGTAGCTGGTCTGCCGGCCCAGATCCTCCAATTGTAACTGCTGGTGCCTGAGGTACAGTTCAGCTTCCAGTTCTTTCTGACTGAGGCGGAGAGGTTGGAGAGCTCTTCCTCAGAATTGGTCACCAGATGGGTCGCGCGAGCTCCAGAGTCTTCCGCTTGGTGTGTAAGATGTCGTGCCATTAGATATATCTGGTTGCGGATATCCTCGTTGTCCTTCATTGATTGTGCGAGCTTGGTGTAGACGGTTTCTTGCTCAGCGTGCAGTTGGCGTGCCTCGTGATGTTCACCTTCGAGTCTAGCTTGATGCGTAGCCGTGGCAAGCTCGATGTGCGCCTTCTGATTGTGGAGCATGTGGTGTTCTGCGATTCGGGTCTGCGTGGTGAGGTTCTCCTCGTATCGCGCAAGCTGCTCGTTCTGCCGAAGTAGAACCTGCTCGGCGTAGTGGTATTGCTCTTGGTACTCAGTCGATTTTGTCCTGAACTGGAGTTGATCCTGGTATAGCTCGTGGTACTCCGTGGTCATCTCGTGGTGTCGTTTGTTGCCTTCAGCGATCTTGTTATTGAGGTAAGCAGTCTCGGCCGACTCTTCATGGCACTCCTCTTGAAGATGGACTTCGTACGGTGAGGTCGAGGTCGGGTTTTGGTAGAACGCCTGTTGTGTCGGCTTGTATTGCTCAAGCATTGTAAGCGTAAGGTTTTTCTCCAGCTCAGAGTTCTCGCAGGTGCGGAGGCGGGCGTCTGTTCGCAGGTAACTTTCCTGTAGCTCGCTGTAGCGGATGTTGGACTTGGTACATTGTTCCTCTGCGTACTTAGTTCCTTTGTTCTCCTCGTCGATATCGATCTCGTGTTGGGTGTAACATTTAGTGAGTTCTGCGGCTGACGTCTCAAGGTCGTCTCGGAGTATCCTAAGGAGCTCGTCCTTGTACCGCGTAGTCCTTGCTGCTCAGTTGACTTAGAAGATCTGTGCAGTGTGCCTCCAACTCCTCGTGTTTCTCGTCCTTGCTGCGTATCGACTTGTGTAGTTCGTTGATTCGCTCCTCTGTAGAGGCGTTGGTGACAGTTGCGGCATTGCGGATCTCGGGGTTGAGAGCCGCGTTCTTGTTTGTGAGGTCCTTGATCGTATTGCGTAGTTCTGTTTGTTACTCAAGAAGTTGGTGACTGTCGGGAAACGTGCCGATTGCTGGCGGCGTGGAGGGCCCAGTGGTTGGTGGGGACCCTTTGCTTACATAGGGCGTCTTCGAGTGATTTGGCTCTCTTCCTGCCCTTCTCGGCTTTCTTGTCCTTGTTGTCTGTCGCGGTCCTGGACCTGGAGATCATGTACTTGAGGCAGCGGATGTCTCCGAGGTTGCGCGTGACGGTGTGTCCTTTTTCTTTGTCTGCGCCGCTTTGTACAGGTCCTCGTGGCATTTCCAGCGGTACTGGCGTAATTCTTCTGGGTCTCGAGGTGGTTCCACGTAAGAGGTGTGGGTCTTGGCCTCCTGTTCCTCGTAGGATTCGGTTGCCTCGACTACTTGCTCGGTGGTCCCGTCCAGCTTCCAAGCAGGTTGCTCTCGTGTACGATTAGAGCCCCATCGACGACCTTCATGTACTCGTCTGGCTGCCTTTCTGGCTGTAGTCGTCCTGCTCCCAGGTCCACTGGTTCCCGCAGTAACAGGTCCAGACCTTACTGGGAGCGTTTCTGCCACATCCGTTACATTTCCAGTCGCCGGAATTCGCTGTGGTCTGTCGGCCTCGCTCTCCAGGTATTGAGACATCGCGTGTTGAACCTCTCCCACCGCGGGGAGACCTTGCTGGGAGCGTGTCTGCCCCAGCCGTTACGTTTCCAGTAGCCGGAATTCGCTGTGGTCTGTCGGCCTCGCCCTCTATAGGTATGGAGACATCGCGTGTTGAGCCTCTTTCACCGCGGGGTGCGCAGCGGTCTGTGGCTGGAGCCCGTCTTGTTCCAGTCCTTGGGCGCCATCTTGGAGTGGTGCGGGTCCTCCTCTTCCTCCTCCTCCTCCTCCCCCTCCTCCTCCTCCTCCTCCCCTCCTCCTCCTCCTCCTCCCCCTCCTCCTCCTCCTCCTCCTCCTCCTCCTCCTCCTCCTCCTCCTCCTCCTCCTCCTCCTCCTCCTCCTCCCCCTCCTCCTCCTCTTCACCCCTCAGGCCTGGGCCCCGTCAACATGTTCGAGGCCCTCTTCGCGCCCCGCACGGTGAGGTACTGGGGGCCTGGCCCCGACAGCGAGCCTCGGTATTTCGAGGCGGTGCGCTCCAGAAGGGGCCCTCCTCCCTCGAGGGGTCGGAGGAGGCGACGCCCCCGGAGCTCCAACGCATTAACAAAAACCAGGGCGGCAGTTTGCCGACGCTTTCGGCGTCCCTAGACCCCCGACGTCATGATTTTTTCATGACGTCGACCCCCCGAAGTCTCGACCCATTCCCCGGGACCGGTTTTTCGTCCCGAGTCGTTTTTTGACGGTCCCGAGGGCCGGTAAGGGCCCCCAAAGGCCAAAAATACTGAAAAACCTCCCGTCGTGATTTTTTCACGACGCGATGGGGTCTGGGTCTTGGGGGCCCTCTCCAGGCCCCGGGAGTGTCAACGGATTATTTTCAAGTCAGCGGGCGCAGAGGGGCGAAAGCAGTCAGGCGCCCCGGTCGGGGAAGCCCCGAAGAGAAGGCCCCGGGGAAGTGCCACAGAGCTCCGGGCTTCGGGGGGTCGAAGGAGTCGACGTCTCTTCCTCGGCGGAAAGCGGCGGAAGGCGGGCGGGGGGAGGAGGAGGAGGAGGAGGAGGAGGAGGAGGAGGAGGAGGAGGAGGAGGAGGAGGAGGAGGAGGCGGACGAAGAACATAATGATAAAGGCCAGCCAAATGATGTATGCATGACTTCCCCTGAGACCCTGAGGCCTGGACGTTGCAGTTTTTTCAGACCGGGCGTCTTCGCCCGGCTTCGGGACCCGGAGCTATCGCAGATCGATTTTGCTCGGAAAATGTAGCAGAAAGCTTGGGCCCAGGGCTCGGCTGGCGATTTTTCGCGATGGTGTTGCTTCTGCCATAACGCTGGGTCGCAGGGGTTGCGATGTTTCGGGCGGCGTTCCAGAAGGTCCGCCGCTGAGAGATGGCACGTTTGTGTGGGAGTCGGGGCTTCTCTGGAGCCCGCCAGGTGGACACCGCGTACGTCGACATCAGCGGCTTCAACGTCGGGGAGGGCCCCGACAGCTCGCGCCTGGAGGAGCTCACGTGCGACGAACGTGTCCGCTTCCGCGTCCTCGTGGTCTGGGCTTTGGGGTGCGATCCTGCGGATAATTACGCGGTCCCACGGATAGATACGTCCCGCGCGCGGGGCATGCGCGAAGAAACTCCCCGTTTCCGCGGGGTCGCGGCCCTCGGGGGCCCGGTTTGCGAGGCCGTGGGGGTGCGGGTAGTTTGTTGCGCCTGCGAGGAGCAGCTGAAGGAGAAGGCGCTGCGGCCCGAGGACCTCCGGTTCGTCACGAAGCTCGCGCCGCAGACGCAGGGCATGACCATGCGCACGCAGGAGCCCGCGCGCTGCTTCCAGTGCCTGCAGCCGGGCATCCACCGGGACGCCCGGGTGCTCGCGGCCATGGCCGAGACGCGGTGCCCCGAGATCTTCGACACGAAGGGCTGCAAGACGCTGGTGAAGCTGGCCTGGAAGCGCGTGCAGAGGTACGCCTACCTGAACATCTTCGCGCGTGCGCTGGAGGTGGCACTGCTCGTGTGTCTCACGATGGCCCTGAACGACGGCTCGACGAGGCCCGAGAGGTGGTCCTGGCTGAACATCGGGCTGTTGATGTGGAACATGCTTGAGGAGGTGTGCCAAGCAATAGGGTTTGTACAGATGGGCCTGTCCAGCCTGTGGACCCACAACTTCGTGACCTGGGTGGACGTTTTCAGACTTGCCAAGCAAGCGTATGTTTACGCCGTGGTCGTTGTAGATGGAGACCTCACGAATGAGTTTCAACGCATCCTGCTGGCCATCGCTGTCTTCTGGAGTTGGATGAGAGTGCTGTATTCGCTTCGAGTTCTGAAGGTTATAGGAAAGCCGATGTTGCCGATTTTGAACTCGATGCAGAACATGTCGGCATTCCTCCTGGTGGTTGTCTTTTGGCTGGGAGGCTTTTCGCACATGTATTACGCTTGTGGCCTATCTCAGCCATTCAGCTCGTTCATGACCGTCTTCCGCCTCGCCATGCTGGGGGACTTTGAGCTAGAGGAGATGGAGTCGGATGCGGAAGGGACTGTGCTTGCGGGAACGTGGGTGCAGCTTTTTGTAATCGTCGTGGGCTTCATGATGACTATCACGATCCTGAATATTTTTATCGGCGTGGTCGGGATGAGCTACGAGAAGGCCCTGGACGAGGCCGAGAGGGCGTTCCAGCGCCAGCGCGCAAAGGCCAGCCTCAACCACGTGGCCCACATGGAGGGCTTGCGCACTGTGCTGTGCTGCAGGCGCCGCTGCTGCTTTCCTTGCATCCCCTTCTGCTGCTCCTCCTCCTCCTCCTCCTCCTCCTCCTCCGCTCTCGTTTTGCCTCTGATTAGCCTGACTGTGTGTTGCTCTGCGTGCCGCGCCACCAGTTCTGGCCTCCGCGCTTCGGCGAGACACGCCGACCAGTTCCCAGGCCTCAGGCGTCGACGACCCGAGCCTGTCCCCGCGTCCCGCCCCGCGGAGCGGAGCGACCCGCTGTAGGCTTGCAAGGCGTAGCATGGCGCCGAGGCCTCCTCCTCTTCCTCCTCCTCCTCCTCCTCCTCCTCCTCCTCCTCCTCCTCCTCCTCCTCCTCCTCCCCCTCCCCCTCCTCCTCCTCCTCCTCCTCCTCCCTCCTCCTCCTCCTCCTCCTCCTCCTCCTCCTCCTCCTCCTCCTCCTCCTCCTCCTCCCCCCGCGAGGCGCCTCGCCCGCTCCTCCTTAGCAAACTATCCTTACATGCCGACCTCCACGGAGATAGCTTGCTGGTGGTCACCAGCCTTAAGTCGGGCCTGTCCCTCTACAGGGGGAATGCTCAAAAACAGTCCAGCAATAATTCGTCTGGGGACTATTGTTGGTGTATGTTTGGGCATCGTTCGAGTATTTGTTGGGTATCTTCTTTATATTCTTCGTCCCAAATCCCCCTGTATGGGGGACAGGCCCGACTTCACACCAGCCTGCTGCTGCCTACAGTCCAGACGCCGAACAAAAAACAGGTCGAGCTCGAAAGAGTTCCGCAGACAATGTTCTTACTAATGTTAAAGTTTCCCCCTGTAGAGGGACAGGCCCGACTTAACACCAGCCTGCTGCTGCCTGCAGCCCAGACGCCGAACCAAAGAAAAACAGGTCGAGCTCGGCAGAGGCTGGGGGTACTCGTGCCGCTCCGCAGGGTTGGGTCGGGGAGGTCGTTCCTTAGTTCAACGTCCCTTCTGGTAGCACGGGGACTGCATCTCCCCAAAAAGTATATAACCCCCCCAAACAAACAAACAAACAAACAAACAAACAAACAACGAACAAAAAACAACAAAACAAACGAGGACTGTATCTCCAAGTCGCTCAGGGCAGGGGAGGGGGGAGCTCGGAGGGCGGACCTGGGCGATGCTCTCGCTGCGAGCGCGCGGGTGCGCGCGCGGCGGAGCCGCCGAGTGCGGGGCCTGCTCTCGAGGTGTGGTGGCTCTGCTTCGCTTTGACGGGGTCGCCACTCTCCACCTTAGCTGCCTCGATGCGCCCGTTTTGATACGCAGCACGTCCCGTGTTCAAGACGTCCGTGTCAATACGTTGCGTGTTGGCTCCACGTGTTGGACCACGTGTGGGCGAGTGTATCGCGTCGGACCTACGTTTTCAGCCTACGTGTTGAGCTCCGTATCGATACGGTACGTGTTGCGTGTTGCGTATTGGGGCAGCTAAGCTCTCCACCCTTCCCCCCCCGCCCCTGAGTGCTGTTCAGGAGGAGTCGTCCGAAAGAGCGCAAGGACATCTACGCGTGGTACGCTCACAGCCTGGACGAGGAGACGCTGAGCAAGGAGCGGCGCGTGCAAGAGGAGCAGGGAGGAGGCAGTAGGAGTAGGACGAGGTGGAAGCGGAGGCTGAGGATGGGGAGAATGGGGGAAAACAACACCAAGAGCGACACGAAGGATTGGGGTGGGTGATGCTGATGATGCTGCTGTCGACAACGACGATGAGGATGACGATGACGATGCCGATGATGATGACGATGACGATGACGATGATGATGATGACGATGATGCTGATGATGATGCCGATAATGATGATGATGAGGATGATGATGATGATGATGAGGATGAAGATGCTGATGATGATGCTGATGTTGATGATGCTGATGCTGATGTTGATGCTGCTGCTGATGATGCTGATGCTGATGACGACGATGCCGATGACGAGTACGATGATGATGACGATGCTGATGCTGCTGATGCTGATGGTGATGATGATGATGCTGTCGCTGCTGCTGATGATGATGACGATGACGATGATGACTATGATGCTGATGATGATGGTGGTGATGATAATAATGACGATGTTGGTGATGATGATGATGATGATAATGATCATAATAATGCTGATGATGCTGATGCTGATGATGACGATGATGCTGATGATGCTGCTGGTGATGATGGCGAGGATGATGATGACGATGCTGATGATGATGATGATGATGATGATGATGATGTTGATGATGGTGCTGACGATGCTGATTATGATGATGACGATGATGTTACTGGTGGTGATGATGATGGTGATGATCATGATGATGATCAGGCTGATAATGGTGATTGTCGATGCTGATGATGAGGACGATCATGATGATGATCATGGTGGTGATGATGATGGTGGTGATGGTATGGTGATGACGATGTTGATGATCGTGACGATTAGCGTGATGAGGATGATGCTGCCGCGGCTCCTGTTGATGATGATGGTGGTGATTTTGATGCTGAGGATGTTGCTCATGATGATGATGATGATGATGATGATTATGATGATGATTGTGATTTTGATGCTGCTGATATTGATGATGATGGTGATGCTGACGATGATGATGATGATGATGATGATGATGATGATGATGATGATGATGATGATGATGATGGTGATGATGATGATGATGATGAGGATGATGATGAGGATGATGATACTAATGATGCTTCTGCTGCGTATCATGAGTGGTGGTGGTGTGTTGATGGTGAGGATGGTGATGAGCAGGAGCAGGATCAGGATGATTATGATGACATGGGGAGGAGTTGGACAAGGGAGGATGAGCAGGAGGATAATGATAATGAGAAGGAGAGGAGGCAGGTGATGATGAAGAGGAGGACTAGAGAGGATGCGAACAAGGGAGGAGTAAGACAAAGGAGGACGACGACAAGGGGGAAGAGGAGAACACGGGAGGAGGAGGAGGAGGAGGAGGAGGAGGAAGTGGAGGAGGAGAGGAAGAGGAGGAGGAGGAGGAGCAAGAGAAGGAGAAGTTGGAAACAAAGGAGGAAGCAGAGGAGGAATTGAAGCAGGAAGAGGAAAAGGAGCAGGAGGAAGAGGAGAAGCAGGCGCAGGAGCAGGAGCAGGAGGAGGAGGAGGAGGAGACGCTCAGCAAGGAGTTCGACGCGCCAGAGCAAAGAGCTGACAACTTGGACGAGCGGGTGGGCAGGCTGGCGATGGACGTGTCTCGGATGGGAAGGCAGCTGGAGGGCCTCATGGAGGCGCTCAGGCCGGTGGACATTGTGCTGGAGTGATGGCAGCCCTCGCGTTGACCGCCCGTGCCTCTTGTGCTACGCTTAGCGCTGGTGCACCTTCTGCGATTCCCCCGCTTCGTCAGTTGTCGTCGTCGTCATCATCATCACCAGTATCGTCATCATCCTCACCCTCGTCCTCCTCCTCCTCCTACTCCTCCTCCTACTCCTCCTCCTACTCCTCCTCTTCATCACTCGGTGTTGTCCAAATTTGTCCTGGACATGAGCTGATTCCTCGTCTCGAGGAGCAATCCACGTTTTTGGAGGTCGGCATGGATCCCCGCACGGACTTCTGGAAATTTGCGTTTATGCCGATGCTTCTTCTGCTATCGCCGCTGGCTTGCAACTCCTCGCTTTGGAAAGCTCTGGGGTGTCAAGGCCCGATGCGCTCCTGGTGAACCCTATGCTCAGACAGGACGCTGGAAGAAGGACCACTTTCGAGCCGTTCCTCAGATCCAACGGGTCGGTGGGCCTGTTCGTGGCCGAGGCTCGCCGTGATCAGAAACGCCACTCCTTTCCCTGTTCACCATCCCGTGTGGCACAACAATCCGCGGAACTTTAAACGAGTTTTGCCGACCCCCCTTGCCCCCAATCTAATTGTTCAGCTGCTCGCGCTGCCCAGTGCGCCGACGAACCAGTTGAAGCCGCTTGTTTCGGCATCGATTCTGGAGTGCGGGATGTTGGGGGCGCCGCCGCGGCGCAGGGGAAACTTGCTTTAAGTCGGGCCTGTCCCCCTACAGGGGGATTTTCGACGAAAAATAACAAATCCCCCAAACATAGTCCAAACATCCTCTGGGTACTATTTTTTTCGTACCGATTTACCTTTTTGGGGCATTTTTGGGGGTATTTTGTATGGTTCGCGAGGACTTCTCGGATCTGCGCTGAACCCCCCTGGCGCGCTCCGCGCGCCAGAGATGGGGGGTTCCAGCGCCGATCTGAGCAGTCCGTGCGGAGCTCTGGGCGTTTATGTTTACTCGATCTGAGCAGTCCGTGCGGAGCTCTGGGCGTTTATGTTTACTTGCCTGTCGTTGAAAGTAAGTATATTTGGATGCCAAAATCCTAATCTACTTCAAGCGGCTTCCTACTTCAAGAGTCGAGTGGTTTTCCTTCTTTCCTCCTCTTCAGGGGGCTGGCGGAAGTCCAATCTACTTCCAACGCCTTCCTACTTCATGTTTCTACCCACTTCTTCTGACAGGCGTGTATGCAGTTCTTTCTTGGTGCACCGCACGGCCCGCCAGCTCTGTAGCCGCGCTCGCGACCGCCAGCGCTGCCGACAGAGGCTTCCGTCCTCTTAGTGGGTTGGCGCTCCGAGCCGCCGCGCGGGCGGCGCCGAGTCGCGCCGCGAACTCGACGAGCACGCGCGGCCTTCCATTGTGGCCTCCCTCGCCTTCGGCTCGTCTCGTCCGTTTTCTCCGCGCCACGTCTCGTGGTACATGCACTCTCTGCCTCACCGGTCTTGGCCGCAATCCTGGGCCAAGCCAGGATCGATGCGCTGGGCATGAATCCGCGCGATCGCCACGCCATTTTTTCTTAGTGCGAACAGGGACAGGAAGGATCCCCTGGACAGCGCAGTCAGGTATGTGAGCAACAAAAAGGCTGGTTCTTTTGAAGCACGTATAGCGGCTTGCTTTCAGGCAACAGTAGGGGCCGATTGTGAATGTGTACTAGATTTTGAAGTTTGGCGACCAGCTGCTTTCTTTTGGATTGGCAGCAAGGTCCGTGCATTTTGTCTCACACAGAGTATGACCGTCTGTGTGCCATCTGGTCAGTTTGTTTAGTAGGGTGATGAGGCTTGCCTTCGCAGGCACGCAAGTTACAACGTGACAGCAGTCGCGCTGGGTCTCGCCGCTCAGTCTAGGATCTACCTAGTTTTCCGAGTCGCGAAGCGTGTTCGTCCAGCATCATCTAAGCAGCTTGTCTCAGAGTGGCATCTAGGTGTTTGCCAGCGTGGGCCCCAAACACCTTGTGTGTGTGCTCTAGCAAGCTATGTTGTACACTATGTGGTCCCATACTTGTTGCGCAAACCATGTGGTGCAATCGATGTGGCCCAATATATGTTGTGCAAGCTATATGATCCAGTCTAAATGGTGCAATGTTTGCGATGCAACATTTATGCAATCGACGTGATGCAATATAGGTTGTGCGCTCCAGGTGGCGCCATATGTGTTATGCGCCCGATGCGTTCTTATATATGTGGTGCACATAGCGCAGACTAAGTAGTGGCATCTATGTGGTGGAACTCACCCTGCCGAACTTGAACTTGTCCACTCCACTGCTCACGCAACCGTCCCACCCTCCCACCCGCAACTTGATTTACAAAGCCCATGCGGCGGCGATTGCGATGACTACTTGGCGCCGGCTTGCGCATCGCAGCAGCCGCGCTGGCGCGTGCAGGCTCGCGCTCAGAGCGGCCAGCTAGTCTGGCGCGACCGCCGCGGCTGCGGTGGCGCTGACCGCTGGGCATTTTCCAGCGCGTCCCACAGGCCGTGTTGACGCGCGGGCACTTCAGTGCGAGCCGGTGACTCGGGTGGGCGCGGTATCATGGCGACGTCGACAACGGCAGACACGATGATGATAGTAGCGATGCTGGTGACGATTGTGACGATGACGACGACATGGCCAATGACGGCGCCGATGTTGATCACGCCGATGACGGTCATGGTGTCCACGTATCGGTCATGAAAGTGTTGGAAGGATTTTGGCATGCGCGCGAGGCCGAGGGGCGCGAGTGGCCCGCGTTGTGTTATTTGATAGGGATCGTGCCCTCCCCCTCTCTCCTTAATAAGCGCGCAAAGGCGTTCGAATGATTTCGACATGCGCGCGAGAGGCCCACTTGGTCGGATTTGATGAAAACGTGTGAATTGCAAGGGTGTCCCTACAGTTTCGCAAACGCGCAAGTTTGTTGCAACATAGTGTTGCAACACTGGTCGTCGCTCCTATGTTCCCAGGGAGCTCGATATTTAAATCCCTACGATACCCAAGGTTCTCGAAGAGTTGGCATGCGCGCGCGACGACGCTTGCGTGGACTTTGTCCAGTTGTTTGCAAAGGGTTCGTGAACATTGATGATTTGTGATAAACGAGTGTGCGCGCATGGTCGTATCGGCTGGGCTGGGACAGTTTCGTCAAACAGCGGTTGCATCTAAGGTTGTTACTGGTGCTCAAACGAATTGGGCCGTGTGGGTGGTCTGGCGGCTCCACGCCGGCCGTCGCCACCCCGTCGCCGCTTCGTCGCCGCCCATTGCCTGGGCCGTGAGGGCGGTTTAGCGGCTCCGTGCTAGCCCTCGCCGCCTCGTCGCAGCCCGTCGCCGCCGTTCGATTGCACCACATGCGTTCCTCCAAAAAGTTGGTGCGTGCGGCGCGCTTCTTGATCGTTCACAACATTGGGGCACCGCGTATTGCACAATACATATTTCACCACATAGATTGCACAATGTATATTGCACAACTACGAATGTTGCGCCATATACATTGCACAACGTTGGGGCGCATGGATTGCGCCACATATATCGCACAACCACGTAGATTGCGCAACATATCTTGCACATCATCGATTGCATCGCGTATACTACAGATCGCAGATTGCGCAGCACAGATTGCACAACGTAGATTGCACGACATCGATTGCACCACATTTGTTGCACATCGTTGGTCTATCCACAAATATTGCACCACCCAGGTGGACACACACACATAACATCACATACATGGTTAGAAACACATTGTTTGGGGTCCACGTTGGCTAACAGGAGCTTGCGTGGTGAAACAATGGTTTGTGCAGAATTAACACGCGATCGCACTATCCCAGGGGGGGGGTCCAGAACCCCACGGGGGTATAAACGAACTTATATGTTGCACGAAGAGTTTCGGTTGTGCAATCTATGTGGTGCAATTAATTTTGCTCGCAGTGAGTTGTCATCTCCACTGCTCGCGCAACCATCCCACCAAGCCACCTGCAACTTGGTTTGGAAAGCCCCTGCGGCGGCGATTGCGATAAGTGTTTGGCGTTGGCTGGTGCATCTCTGCGGCCGCGCTAGCCCGCGCATGTTCGCGCGCGGAGCGGCCAGCTTGTTTGGCGCGACCGACGCGGCCGCGGTGGAGCTGGCCATTGGACACTTACCAGCGGGCATTTCACTGCGAGTCGGCGATTTGGGCGGGTGCGGTATCATGGTAACGTCGGCAACGGTGGACACGATGATGGGCGTAGCGATGCTGGTGGCGATGATGACATCGACGACGGCAAGGCCAATGACAGCGCCGATGCTGATCACGCCGACGACGATGACGGTGTCCTCGCGTCGGTGTGAAAGTTTTGGAAGGAGTTCGACATGCGTGCGCGGCCGACACGCGGGAGTGGCCCGCATGGTAATTTTGGACACAGATGGTGCCTTCCCCAGCAAGCGCGCAGGGGCGTTCGAACGATGTCGGCATGCGGCGCGGGAGGCCCGTCCGGCCGAATCGAATGACAGCTATTGGAGAACAGAGGTTGTGGCTCTCTTAAGAGTTCGCAGGAGCGCGAGCGCAGGCACATTTGAAATATGATGTTGCCAAACCGTGCGTTTTCGTATGCATGTCGGGACGCTAGATTTTGAAGCCCGCACGCAACGCATGGTTTTTGAAGCATGCCCGCATGCGCGCGCGACGACGTGCGCCTGTGCACTTCGTCCCGCTGTTTGGAAAAAAGGTTTTTGCGACAGCACGCGCGCCAGGGCGTTCGAACGATTTCGACATGCGCGCGCGAGAGCACGTTTGGTAGCATATGATGAAACTGTTGCAAAGCCGATGTTTTTGATTGTTCCAGCGCCAGCTCAGCTTTTTATTATATTAAAAATCCGTGTTGTGAAACCATGTGGCTTATATATATATATATATATATATATATATATATATATATATATATATATATATATATATATATTCGGGACACTCGATTTCCACACCCCTAGGAAACCTCAGGTGTTTTCTAGTTTCGGCATGCGCGCGCGACGACGTGCGACGTGCGAGTGCGCATTCCGTCCCATTTGCTTCCAGGTGTTCTTCATGTGTGATGA